TCTCACACTCGGCCTCCCCGGTCGACTCAGGCGACCAAGGTGTCTTCTGCGAGTCGTACTTATCGTTCGACTCCCCAAAATATATAATATCCATTTGGGAGCCATCATTAACACGTGTTGAGTCATCACATGCATCTGCGGCAACTGGTGTCGCAAGAAAAAGAGTAAAAAAGCAGCAGACAAAAATCTCCTGCCGCAAGAGGCTGTGAAGTGTCACGAGCAGCTGCGTTAACACGCGCATATGCTATTTCAGCGGCCTTCTTTGTGCACCGCATGGGGTTCTTAGCCATGCGTGGCTATTTTAGAAATGTGTGGATTTGGCCAACAATTGCTCCCTATCCCTGATGTAATCTAGCGGTGACGATATTAAACATGATAGTATCGATCAAGTATCGTTTGGGAGGTGATATTACGGGGAGAGCCTGCTACACTTAGTTAACGCTCAATACTTGTTCTTTAGAACATCATTATGAAAGTTGGTAGTGTCCGTGAATATCACCATAAGCAGAAGTATTCAGAAGCACTTACCTATTGAATGATATGGGTCATCATATCAGTCAGCTTAAATGGTCCAATCAGTGACGAAAGCGCGCAATGAGTGGTGAGAAAAGGCTCTGCATCCATTTTACCAGGTAAATATAATCAAGTTAGGATCTGAGACATTTGATAATAACTATGACATAATTACATTTGACACAGTTTTACTTTCTACTTTATATTGACCGCGTCGTTCAATAGCTATCCTTTTTCTGAACATATGGTGTACGCGAAGTGACATGCGGCACTACTTTCACTGCGTCATTCTAAGTGGAATGGTAGTGCATTGGTACTTTTCACCAGCTCCCCGTTACACCGAGGTTTTATCCAATAACCCCCGATAGGCTGCTAGCGCACCTGGACTGGGCCGATCTGGAGGAATATTTAGGCAAGTTCGCTTCATGGGGCTCGGGAGACAAGCTCGGCGGACGGGCCAAAACCTTGACGGCTGAAGTAGAATATTAGGTACACGGTGAGGGGTGAAACCCGCCATTTTCGTGCCCCTTACCTCGTAGTGTCTGGGTTGTTACTCCCCTTTCAGTTTGCACGCTGTGCTGCCTCCCGTTGCGCACGAAGGGCAAGAAGGTTTCCCCCTACAGCCTAGGCTCCACGATAGATCACTTCCCACCCAGAGTAAGGGGGACGGCTAAATGACTCTTTGAAGGTTTCGTTGTTGTTTGAAGGAGCAAATTAGGAAGTGATGGTAATTTAGGCTCCGTCCCGCAGCGTTTTATCCCATGGGATCCTGCATCCCGATCTGGACGGGACGGGACGCAGAATGAGTCGGTCCCATCCCGCGCGTTTTGCACATCCCGCATTTTAAAATTGTCTTAGTACGTAACGTCCAGATTTCATAGTTTTCCACGATCATGCTATTTTACGGGAATCAAAAGAGCTTAAAATGTGAAAGCGTCATCGATTTTGAATTTTGTATCTGGTTAAATTCAGTTTTCATTGACATTTTTGATCTTTCTGCCCAAACATGCACGCAGGCATCATAGGTGCTTGCAAAGAGCATTTGGTTGTCACTAACGACGATCCGACGAACATTCTTATCTTACTGGAGCCTCGCGACTTCGATCTATGGTGAATGTAAGTTTCTTTTAGTGTCACTTGATTGCTCAAAAGCCTCATCAAGAGGTTGGGTGCTTCCATCAAACGTCAAAGTCGCTTATTAGCAATTGCGATAGCTTACAATGTTTGACTAAAAACATGCTTTCAGACGTTTCTACTTATTTATCTCTAATGCATTGATGCTGATAAATGCTCTAAATAATATTAAATTGTTACAACTACGTTGAAAACAAAGCTTTTCTTGCATGAATCTGCCATCAGCAGCACCGATTATCGAGCGGATCAGGATTTGAGCTTCTACCCTCGTTGTAGCAGCTAAGCATTGGTCATTTATCACATAGAGAAGTATTTTACCGTTTTACCATATTCCTCAATCTTTGGTACTTTCAACACATACGGATGTGATATTGTGTCCACAGACCTGGTCGCTGCGAAATATATGTAGTATAAATTATCAATCTTCTCGTCCCGCAGAATCCTGCGTCCCTTTCCGTCCTGCGCAGGATGGGACGCGAGATAGGCCAATCCCGCCCCGTTTTGCGCGGGACGGAGGAATAATGATATTGCAAAAAGTGAGTGCCAGGATAAATCATGAGCGAAATGATATTTATTAAGGAACAATCTGATAAAATCGTACGGCATTTAAACTGACGTCGGTGCTTATCGCAGTAGTTGCTGCTGCGTGCGTTCGCTGCCGCAAATAGTTATAGCGGAATTTTTAAATGATAGTCAGTCTGGTAGTAAAGCGATCACTAAAGTTCCGAGTGTGTATGTATAGTAACACAGCTTGAAAAATGTAAAATGAAACGGTTTGGCCGTCTCGCAAGCAATGCCATAAACTCGTTTTACCAGATGCGGCATACCCGCCGTAGAAGCAGATTGTGGTCATATCGCGTACCCTTTTTATGGTGACCTAACAACCTTGTGTAGTTTTGACGACGATTAAACCGAATTGCCCCAGTCCAAATCGCCAAGTTCGTCGTGACACAAGCGCGAGTCCTCTTAAGTACGCACACCCCCACAAAAACACCCACGTACCCACTCACCTCGACGGCCACGATGAAGAAGAGCGTCGTCAAGAACCGCGCGCCGGCGCCGATCCAGATCACGGCCGAGCAGATTTTACTTGAAGCCAATCAGCGCAAAGAAGAGGTCGCGCCGCCGCCGCGTCGTCGCATCGCCGATGCCGCGGAGCTTTCTGAGTACCGCATGGGCAAGCGCAAAGCGTTCGAAGACGAACTGCGACGCCAACGCCACCACGTGGGGACGTGGATGAAATATGCGACATGGGAAGAGAGTCAGCACGAGTTTGCCCGCGCCCGCAGCGTCTTTGAGCGCGCGCTGGACGTGGACTACAAGGCGACGACGATCTGGCTTAAGTACGCAGAGATGGAGATGCGGCATAAGTGCGTGAACCACGCCCGCAACGTCTGGGACCGCGCGGTCACGCTGTTGCCGCGTGTACCACAATTGTGGTACAAGTATGCGTTTATGGAGGAGATGCTGGGCAACGTACCCGGTGCGCGCCGGGTGTTTGAGCGCTGGATGGCGTGGCAGCCAGATGAACAAGCGTGGTACTCGTACATTAAGCTCGAGATGCGAGTGCAAGACATTGGGCGCGCGCGAGCGCTGTACGAACGCTATGTGGCGTGCCATCCCGGGGAAAAAGCGTACTTAAAGTATGCGAAATGGGAAGAACGGGCGCAGAAACAGCTGGCATTGGCGAGAAAAGTGTACGAACGAGCGCTTGAAGAGCTCCGTCGAGACGAAAAGACCGAGCAGATTTATCTGGCGTTTGCCCGCTTTGAAGAGCGATGTCGTGAGCTCGAGCGCGCGCGTGCAGTGTTTAAGTACGCGCTCGACACGTTACCGAAAGAAGAGGCACCGGCGCTTTATAGCGCGTTTATCACGTTTGAAAAACGACATGGTGAAAAGGAGAGGATTGAGCAGGTGGTAATTGCTAAGAGACGCGTTGTGTACGAGCAGCAAGTGACGGCAAACGCACTAGACTATGACTCGTGGCTTGAGTACATAAAGCTAGAGGAAAACGAGGCGGTAGGTTCGCAGTCGTTTGGTAGAGTGCGGGACGTGTATGAGCGCGCGATCGCGAATGTACCACCGATTGCAGAAAAGAAATACTGGCGTCGGTATATCTACCTCTGGATCAAGTACGCGTTGTTTGAAGAGCTGCTGGCGGGGGATTCTGACGACAGTGGTTCCTCGTCCGAGCGCTGTAAGCAGGTGTACCAGACATGTTTGAAGATGATTATACACGAGGAGTTTACGTTTGCCAAGATCTGGATTCTCTACGCCAAGTTTCTTATCCGGCAGCGTGACGTACAAGGTGCACGCTTAACGTTTGGAGAAGCCTTGGGCCGCTGCCCGAAGAAGAAGCTCTTTACGAGCTACATTGAGTTGGAACTCATGATGGGCAAGATTGACCGCTGTCGCAAGATTTACATGCGGTTCCTTGAGTTTGACCCGCAAAATTGTGAAACGTGGCAGAAGTACGCCATGCTCGAGCGGCAAGTGGGCGAGCTTGAGCGCGCGCGCGCAATTTACGAACTGGCCATTGCGCAACCAGTTTTGGACATGCCCGAGATGATCTGGAAACACTACATTGATTTTGAGATTGAAAACGGTGAGCGTGACAATACGCGCGCCTTGTATGAGCGACTGCTGGAGCGTACTAAACACGTAAAGGTCTGGATCAGTTTTGCACAGTTCGAGGCGTCGGCGCCTGGTGATAAGGATGTTCAAGATGATAGTCTAGAGGCAGCTCGTGATGTGTTTGAGCGTGCATTGCGGTACATGAAGGAGCAAGGCAGTGACGGTCTGAAGGAAGACCGCGTCTTGTGCATTGAAACATGGCTGGAGATGGAGAAGAAGGGCGGTGACGCTGAGATGATTGCGAAGGTCAGCGAGATGATGCCGCGCAAAGTTACAAAGCAGCGCATGGCGTATGCACAGGATGGGGTATGTATTGCTTTGCTGCATTGCATGAGTGTGCATGAATGACTAACACGTTGTGCCGTGTGATGTTTTTTGGTTTTGTTTTGCAGACGGAATTGGGTCTGGAAGAGTACACGGATTACATCTTCCCAGATGACGAGCAGGCGCAATCGCACTTGAAGCTACTGCAGGCTGCACAACTTTGGAAGCAGAAGAAGCGTGCCCGAGAAGAAGCTGCAGTTGCAGGAAGCAACGAGAAATAACGATCAGCTTTGAGCCTTCTTTTGAATTGTAACAAGGTGTCCACACAGTTCTTCGTTAATTCTGCTTGCAAATGGAACCTCTCGTATTCGCTATCACAGTGGACGGGACTAGTACCGCAGAACCGGTACCACTTCCCAACCGATTGTTTGCTAAGATCGTCCGAGTCAAAAGATATGCGTCTTCTTCCCTGTTCAGTGCTGTCTCCTGGGCGCTTGACACGCGCGCGCTTCTGGCCAACAAGTGCATACGATAGCGTTGGATCTGCTCTTTCGTATGGTACCAAGTGCAGCTCTCGCTTCACTTCCACGGCTCCACCACGACACGTCTTTGCGGACTCCTCAGTCAGCATTGGGAGTCTCCCTCTGGCGCCGGAAGAGACACGGGCAGAGCGTGAATTGCTGAGCTCTTTACCGGAGTTTCAAGAGGCAGCACAGGTGCTGCTGGGCCAAGGAGGAGAAGCAGCGAAGCTCTTGCCCGACTATAAACGGGCGGAAAACGCGCTGCCGAAGCTCCAGCGCACCGTCGAGATCTGCCGTTCGTCCATGGGCTTCCAGAGCGTCTATTTGCAGGCAGCTTTACGCCACTTGGTGGCTACGCTCGTAATGAAAGGCGACGTAGCGGCGGCCAGAAAGGTCATGCAAGAACGTGGTGACGTGATGCAGTGGCCAATGGCCGAGCACGAGCGGATGCTGCGGCTGCTGCTGCGTGCAAATTTGCCAAAAGAGGCTGAGAAGTGGTGCACCAAAGAGGAGTTTGTCAAGCTGTCGCCAAAGGACGAGACGGTGCCGCTCAAGTGGACGATGTACGAGTTAATCGGCAAGGAACTCAGTGGAGGAGCGGAGCATTTGGCGAAAACTGTGGACGATCCGCTGTTTGTTCAGGCCGTGGAGACCCTGCGAGAGAAGAAGGACGTTGTGCTGAAACACGAAGAAGCGAGCAACCTGAAGGCAAGCGAAGTGCAGCTGGGACGCGACATCCCGTACTTGCTCGCGCAATATGCGTCCTTGTCACTGGCCAGCACGCGAGCACTGCCAAGGCATGAAGATGCCGATTCGAAGGTGCCGCCGAATGATGCTCAGCTGCTGAGTTTGAAACAGGCCGAAGTTTTGTACAAGGAAGCGCTGGCGTGGGTGGAGAAAACAGCAGCTGAGAAGGAGAAAGACGCTTTGCTGGCATCTGGACCCAACGCTCCATTTGGGGCTTGGATTGAGACTAACCTGGGAGAGCTATTGCTGCGCCAAAACAAGCCTGAAGAAGCCATGGAGTGGTTAGGCAAGGCCATGGGGACACTGCAGGCTGAGCGAAATGGTACCGGTGGCAGCGCGCTAGCGATGACCCGTGTGCTTGGTCAGATCGCGCGAGCTTGCCATGCCATGGGCCAAGCCGTGACGAGCGAGGGTCTCTTTGTCACTGTCGTCGAGTCATTTGAGCGCGAGAAAAACCTATCTTCGACAGACCGTGTCGAGTTTTCACGCGTGTTGCGCGCCTATGGCGATTTGCTGGCTAACTGGGAGAAGCGCGAAGCTGGTGCGGCGAAGAGGTATGAACAGGCTGAGCTTGTCGAGCGAGAGCTCGCCCAGATGTGCCAAGCCAACGAAAGTGCTGCCGCGCTGCATTCTGTATTTTTCTTGCCGCTATGAGGACGAGGAGCTGGAGGGAGCGAGGGAAGGAGCTTGGTTGTGAAGTAGCGTTTGGTAGCTGACGAAACACGCGGTGTTGCCTTTAAGCAAAGGTTGAACATGGATTTGGTCACTGAGGAAACACAACGACATGGTGACTAATTATCCGTTCCGGAACCCTCTGAGCGACCATCACAGAGCCGATTGTCAATCAACTCGTGGCAATTGTGCCGTAACTATTGTTGCTCTGGGCGAGGCAAATTGTAGGCTGGACACCACTCTGAACAAGTCGTTCGGATCCCGCCAAGGACATTGCACAAAACAAGAACAAAAACGACGCAGCCATCTGCATATCGAATTTAGCACGCGTGCATGTGTGAGCACACAAGGTAAAGAGCAGAGCCACAAAGTTCACGAACATACCAAAATCATCCACGGCATTACAATGACGAAACTGGACACCGTCTTGCCATCCAATCGCTCTGCAAGAAGAACGAATGGGGCAGCCAGCAAAAAGTTGACACCACCAGTAATTACTGCATCCGTCAGTTCATCGGTTGAAGTGGAATTTCTGTAATGCGCGACGAGGCAGCAGAAACGGTATGCGACCAGGATCCACACAGGAGTCATGATTTGCCACCAACTAGTACCCAATAGTCTTCCGTCAACTTTCATTTCGGTCAACGAAGCCTCGAGAATCGGCAGCAGTATGAAGCCAGTCTTGTGCACGACTGCCTTCGCGAGCAGCCAACCTTCTGTGTCGGTACTCTCCGTCTGAAGAGCTCCAGCTTCAATATTATCGGTCAAGGGTATCTGATACCTTTGCACAGTACCAGCCAGAGTCTCCAGCACGTTGAGACCCTCATACATGAAGTACGGAGTTAGCACTGCTAGGAGGCTCCAGTCTACCACGCCGTTCAACTTTATCACGATCAATGCTTGTGTCAATAGCAGCAACAACAGTTTGCAAAAGGAGAACAGCTTGACATCCGAGAATATCAGCGAGAACAGCGCATAGCCATAGTAAACAGCGTCTAGGATCCATAACGGAGTGAAGACCAGCATCCATGAGACCGAGATCGAACCATCCTGGCGAAGACAACACAAAACTACCGAATTGAAACGGACGAGTTCGTTACGAGTGCAGCTTACACCCGACCTTACGAGCATCAATATACTTACCGGGAAATGTCAGTGCGATACAGAAGAGCACCAGGGCGAGCACGAGAGTGAAACACCGACCACGGAAGCCAAACCCGCTTACAGTCGCACACAGAGCCTGGCAAGATATCCTTCTGTTATGATGGGATCGACAAGTCAGCAAGCTGATGGACGTACGTCAGTGCTCCAGCCGTGGTTGTTCATATCCAAGCAGAAACGGATCTTGCTACACAGTGTAAGTAGATGTGGACAATTGCTGAACAATGATAGTAGCAGCATGGACATGTGATACAAAAGCTCAGTCCTCGACAGAGCGGAACCGCTCATAGTCGCTGGCGACTCTCACACTTTTATCGAGACACTTTCAGCGCCAATTGTCTTACTCTACCATCAGCACTTGCTGCAGCTCTATGTTACATCGCTTCCTTGGCCTCACGACCAGAAGAGCTCAAAGTGCGCAGCGTGGTACAGCTACCTGACATCATAGCAGCCCGACTAATGTGTGTGCTGGAATCACTAGCAGCGAGACAGTGTAGGCCGGATCAACGCAAATGTGCGATACAGCAGCCTAGCGCTGTACTGTGCTTGCCGCATTGACCCTGATATTGCACGCTTGCAACGTCTTGAATGTTTGCAGCTGCATTGAATTCCTCTGTTTTCTCGTTGTTGCTGACTGCCCGACTGTATGCAGCAACACTATCCAAGTAAGAAAAAAAGCGCGTGACGTGCTGACAGGTTGACTAACGACCTTGCCTAGCTGCGTGCGGTAGCGATCACACGTATTAGCTTCTTACAGCTTCACACCCCGTCAAATTCTAATCAAATCGCATGCAGTTATTGACAAACGCTCAATCGACTGCATGACATCCAGTAATTCGGCAGCCAAAAGCCGTCTTAAAAACTCGCACGACATACTACTCTATCCCATTTGTGTACGGACTGAAAAGTTATGTGAGCTACATGAAAATTATGACTGGCTAAAATCAACCTTTTTCCAGTCTGTTTTGATTGGCGATTTATCATCACAGACCAGCTATTCTGAGGTATTAATAGCGAGCGCTCGCCAGCGAAAAACGAAGGTGAAACAATTTTTAGCTGCCATGAATTTAGAAGATCATTTTTACGTGGAGAGCCTCCCTCGTCGTTACTGATGGCTTCAGTGCTTGTTTCTGAACATTCATTGCGAGCCTGAAGAGTGAAGCTATTAGTGAGTGTGCGCAAGACTGAATGCTGAACTTTTAAATCGCACTTATCTGAGTGTGTCTATCTATCTGTAAACATTAGGTGTACCCGCACGTACTAAGTGCGATCGAGGCTGCCCCTTTCTCATAGGTACATTGCACTTACGAAGTCACTCTTTGGTTAAATCACTGTTGTGACGCACGCACGTGATTGGCTAAAAATCGATCAAAGGTGAATACGACCACACAGTCAAAAATTAGACGCTCATCAACAAAGGCCGATCGCGTTGCCCTTGCCTACTGTGCTGGGTTGATACTCTACCTTAACAGCATTACACTCATTTTTTAGTGTCTGCTGCTGTCGTATGGTTTTTTACAACTTAATTTAGCTCTCCGAACTAGATTACGTATATTGGAGCGCGAGCTCCAGAGCTTGCTCGCCTATCTTCACACTGCTGGTTAGATAGTCACGCGGGTTTTTTTGGATGACTGAAACTGCTTGCTCGAGTGAAATCCAACACCTTTTAACTTCACTGCATTAAAAACATTAAAATCTCTAAAAAGCGAACAGAAATCAACAGGTTATTCCTTCGGTATCTGCAGCTGAATGGGCTCCGAAAATGTCATAAAACGCTTTGGAATGAGCTCTTTGCGCTGGTGGATGGTATTTTCGTCTAAAAATACAGATGTGTCAAAAATGCGAACAAACGCGTGGTAATCCGTAAACATATGGAAAAGGGTAGTACCACGCACTCGCTTTGTACCAATAGTACCTCCTTGACCATTTTATATCGTCGGGTTAGGCGGAGGCAAACAACAGGGGTACAGTCATTCCTCGGATGACTCAGATCCTCATATCATCATGACTCATATAACTCATGCAAATAGCGTTCCATCATGCTCGTTCTATGGTCGCTGCCTAATAGCTTCTAACTCATAACTGTCGGGAATTTAAGAGTTTTTTAAGAAACATTCGTTCATGCGAGAATACTCCTGAGCATTGGAAATCATGTTCTTGTATAATAAATGCACAATTGAGAGGGAATGAGCGTCTAAGTAGTGGCAGCCATACGGATGGACACGTGAAGTACCATCCGCACTGGCCGTGAAAGCAATAGAGATCCGCACCTAAATAAAATGGGAAGTGACTGGTCTTAAATTTACAACAATTAAACCTTAAACATCTTCTAGGAAATAAACCAACTCTGACCTTCCATTACTTGAGATCCTCAATCTCGATATACGCAGCTGTCTTTTTGAATTTATGATCTAAAAAGGCCTAATTCTTGTTAGTATTGCACAGCATCAGTCTAGATTACGATCTCTTCATTCTCAAACATTAGTTTTGTGCATATTATAAACATCTTTAGGCTTCCAACCCAAATTCAGGAAATGCTGCATCTATATCTTCCTCACTTGCTAAACCGCTCTCACCGGAATCTGATGCTGTGCAGCTTGTTTCGCTGCTGCTGGTGTTGGGACTATCTATTGATGAACTTAAAGGTGTCCTCAGGTAGGCCAAGGCGTTCATAAAAAGATCCTTGACCTCGACGAGATCTGTGAGTAGGTAAATATTTCTTGTTTGGCATTAAGGCACCCAAGTTTACAGGTCTTCCTCCGTTTTTGAATGATGAGTGAATATCTGGCTTTTGGTGAAAAGTTTGTTATCTGTAATATATTCTAGATCAGTGCGCTTCTTGATTACCAGTATGGACTCCAAACTTGCTGGAAGCCCAATTTGTCAGCACAATCTGACTCGCTTTTTGTGTTCTAGGCCATGTCTTAACAAATCTCGAGCTTTTGTGCATTGGCGACACTACTCGGGACATGTCGATGTGAAATTTAGAAAGGGAAACCGGTAGTTTTCTGCTTATTCCTTTTCATAAAAAAGAAACTTGGAAAATCGGAAATTCATGTAACTCATAACTCGGCGAACTCATAAAATTAGGCTCCACCAAGCCTATAAATTATCCGAGAAACGACTTTAACTATAATTGCACCTACATCTATTGCTAACACACATACATGATTCGTAGGCTACCTATTTAACTTAATTAAACTTTGGTGACAAGTGCTAAGAGAACCCCCACTATTTTAACAGAAGAACAGCCACTATTTAGCCTCAGTCAGGCCTCTTTTTCTGTCTTCGTAACTTTATCGTCTACGTGACGATGATCAATCTGCACCTCTGGTGGTGCCGCTCACGATGTTGATCCTGAGTTGGCCTCCTTAGTTAGTCTTAATACTGCTATTAATGCTGCTGCGTACACCGATAAAGACACCACTCATACTGTCAATCGTTTCGCCCCGCTCCGTCATGGAGCTGTGAAGTTGTGGAGACCCCTCCCTGTAGTGCCATACGGAGGTCAAGGTAAAGCTGTCCGTAACGTAAAGCAGTACGCTATGCGCCAAGATTTCGCTGTCAGCAGAGCCCACACAATATCGCATGGCACTAGGCGCGTTTTTTTACTGCTCGCAAGAAAAACAAAATCACTAATTTCACGGCCCCGTTTAGTGTCGTTGCTAAACCGCGCATTTAAATTCCATTCAGTGTCGTTGCTAAACTTCGGATCTAAATCCCCGTTTAGTGTCGCTGCTAAAGTTCGGATCTAAATTACCGTTCAGTGTCGTTGCTAAACCGCGGACCTAAATCCGTTTGCAGTTTGTATGAGTTCGCGGCCACCTTTGACAAGAACTTGCCAGATGTGACCCCGGTCGACACTTAATTTGTTTAAGACAACTGCCACTCTAGATACGCCCAGAGCATTAACAATATAAAGCTGGCGTCACTACCAGCGGCGCGACGTGTGTCACGAGAAAGATACTATACGAAGGCCACATTTGTGTAGATGCATTAATCCGTAGCTGCTGTATAGTAATGTGCACATACGTGATAATATAAAATGTATTTAACACGTGCCATACCTGCTTTTTATTTCAGCTCATATTGAACCACTTAAAGGAGACGAACATCGTTGCGAGAGCAAGTGATGTCCACGATCACTTCCAATAAGCTATCTTAAAAGCTCTGTGCGTGAGAAAGAATGCAGAGTCTTCACTAAGACCACGATGCTTTCTCCTCCGTGCGTTGTAATACAGAATCTACGATCATCATGTCGGCATGCTCTTGCGCTCACTAATGTGCCTGATCCCCTCAAACTGAAAAAAAGAACGACAATGGAAGGTATGAAGGATGTCAGTGTAATGTCAAATCAATGAGGGGCAGAAATAAAAATGGACGTCCTCTTGCTAAATTATGGCTGACCTCTTGTCAAATGGAGGGTGTTCTCTCAGTATTTGCCACCTTTATTTATTTAAGTCAAATGGATAGCCTACAAAACATGTAGGTGTTTTTAGCACAAAGACAGGTACATTCAGAGTGTCCCCATCCACAGGCAGTCGTGGCCAATCATTTTGATCGAGCTTCATAGTTGCTATTGCATGTGCACCACACCACCACACCTGAAGTAATGTCTGCCACATCAACAATGTCCAAGATCTTGCTATGCGGTGCGGTGCAGGGCCAGTGGGAGCTGCTCTTCGAGCGCGTGCGCAAGCTGAACGCAGCGGCCAAGGACCAACCATTCGATGCGCTCGTGTGTGTAAGTCGCTGCTTCCCTCTGCCGTCTGATTACGTGACAGGAGGCGGCAAAAACGTGCCACTGCTTACGTATTTCCTGCCAGCGCATGAGAGCGCACGGTCGTGGCAAGACGATGCCGTCCAGACGAAGCTTTTTGACACGTTGAGTGCAGTCAAAGGGTCTTCGGAGCCTCTGGAGGTCGGTGATGGGTTCTATTGTCTTGCTGGAGCAGGAGTTGCTACTGTAAGTGAAAGAGATTGATCGTTTATCGAGCTTTAGCTTGATGGTGATATCAGGTGGTTATGGATGACTTTTTACAGTGTGTCTTGCTGATCGTAATTGACTGCTTTGGTTGAAATTGCTGTGCAGATTGCAGGATTGAAGGTGGTCTATGTCTCGGGCATAGAGGCTGTTGATCCGGAGCAGGGGAAAGGAACACTGTTGACGTATTCGAAAGCATCGGTACGTACGGAGTTTGCTGGTGGAGGCTCGACATTGTACTGATGGTTATGACTGTATTATTTCCTCACGTTGCTGTAGGTGGACGAGCTGATGCAGCAGCATTTTGCTGATGGAAAAGGTCAGGGTGATGTGGACTTTTTGGTAACAGCAGAGTATCCGACGAGTTTCCAGTTGTTGCTGCCAGAGCAACAACTAGCTCATGGATTACAAGCGATGCGGGGAAGTGTAGTAGTCAGAGAGATCGTGCGGCATATATATCCAAAGTATCACATTACAAGTCGTGGGGGAGATGGCACTCGTGGAGACGTCTTCTACCAGCGACTACCATATGTGAGTGAAGTAGTGGGGACCGGATGCAAGCGAGTTACGCGACTAATTGGTCTCAGTGGTGTCAATACAATCAAAGACAAGACCCGCAAGTATCTACACGCGCTCCAGGTCGTGCCGTTTGCAAAACAGATCACAGAAGAAAGCCAACATGTGGACATTCCCGCTGGTACTACACAAAACCCCTACCTGCACGCATTGGTGGACGAAGCGATCTCACGAAATCGAGAATCTGATGCGAAGAGAAGAAAGATCGAACCTGCTGCGACTGGAGGTCTCTCTGCCCAACAGATCGAGCAGCTATCCGCAAAAAGTGGGGATGGCACGCAGTTTTTCTACGACCAAAGGCTTGCAGCTAAAGGCCAACGAAAGGGTGGGTTGCTACTTAATCACAAACCGCAGCAGCAAAGAAGCAATAGGTCGGCTGTGCCTGATCGCACTGAGTGCTGGTTCTGTCTGTCGACGCCAACGTTGGAGCGGCATTTAATTGTGAGCATCGGTCAAGAAGCTTATCTTGCGATGCCGAAGGGCGCGATATGTGAAGATCACGTGCTCATCGTCCCTATTGCGCACGAAGGCTCCACGTTAGCGCTCAGCGAGAACACCTGGTGCGAAATCGAGCGTTTTAAAGAGGCGCTGCGTCGCTACTTTGCTTCGCGGGATAAAGAGATGCTGGTGATTGACCGCAACGTGGCCACACTGGGCGCCACGCACTGTCACTTGCAAGCTGTAGGCGTACCCAAGGCAAAGGCTGCCGCCGCGCGCAGTATTTTTGAAGCTGAAGGCGAGAAATACTGTGTCAAATTCCAGGAATTGATGATGCCTGATGCTGAGAAGAAAGCAGGTAGCAGCGCGTCGACTGGCCCTTTAGAGCTTCTGCGCGAGCATGCCAACGATAAGTCGTTCTTGTACGCTGAAGTGCCGAACGGCCAGGGCGGTGCCACGCACTTGCTTCACCATGTTGACGGCAAACACTACGTGCAGTTTGGTCGACACGCGGCCTCACATGTGTTGGAGATGCCGCGTCGCGCCAATTGGAAGTTCTGTGTTGTGCCGAAGTCGGAAGAGGAGAAACTCACGCAGAAGTTTAAAAGCCACTGGAGACCGTACGATTTCACTCTAGAGAACAACGAGGACAGCGAATGAAAGACAGTGGAGTGGGAGACATGCGGTGTGGTATACTGATTGATGCGGAGTTGGGAGCTACGTGGCTGTGTAGTGGAGACCCTCGTCTCAGTTGCTACTTATTAGTCTCTGCGGTTGCTGCTTTGCTCTGATTAACGTGTTCAAGAAAGACATGATGCACCGCCCGGTCAAGTAGCACCATTGGTGCCAAACACGACGTTCCAAATGTCCGTCTTGTTCTGCGACTTGGCCAGACCCTTCGGAGTGGCCGTGGGGTAGTTCACATTCTTCGGTGAACTCATGGGCACTACCGGTGTCTCCTGCAGTGCCTCTTGGATCTGCTTCTCGTAGTCAACACCATAGACGTCGCACCACGCCTTCTCAGTCTGAGAAACTTGAAGTCCATCGGACGAAGAGCTCGTAGGCGAATGGTGCTGAACACGCGCGACGACTGAAGAGCTGATGTTGCGAGCAATGGTCTTGGGCAGTCGGCAGGAAGTACGGGCCAACATTGCGAATAGTCGTGCAGAGAATGAGTCGGTTGAGACGGTTGAGTAGCTGCAAGTGAAATGCAAAGTGAGCCAAGTGAGAGCTGAGACCGAAAACGATGAGCTGCCCGTCTGCAGTCGGAACGAGCCTCTTTTCCTGTCGAGACCTGTGGATTTCGAACATAGATTGATAAATCGTTTATTGCAAGCTATTCAATGTGCGAATGAGAGAGTTCAGGCATCAACGTCCGATCTGTTATCATCCATGCAAGGATATACGTATAGACAGTGAGTAGCTATCATTGGCTGCAATCTTTCTGGTGAAAAGGCGCATGGCATATTGCGTTGCTCACGACGACGTCGAGTAGGGGTCGGGGTCATTGGATTACTCACACCGGCTCGCAGCAGCCTTCAACGATTTATGACAAAATACTCCGAAAGTGCATACGCTGACCTGTCCCTTCGAATACCGCTGCAGCTAATAACCTCGATTAAACTATGAGCGCATTTAGACTTGGCAATTTAGAGAACGACAGCCCTCGCTACTTCAACTGCAATGTCCGTCGGTGACGCGAGCGACTCGTTCAGGCCGAACAACTGCAACAATATTTTACCCGTTATAAGACTCAACATTTTGTGCATCACCAGGACCAGGGACCATAAACCTTGCGTGACAATCACGGTCATTTTGCAATCAGATTCGCCCGTTCAACGGAAACTGCAAATCACTTTTGCTGTAATCGCTTTGTTTGGATGCGTCGATGCCGTGGGTGTATCCAACGACAAATATAGAAGGACTGGCACTTTCAGTCAGAATCGACAGCTATTATTAGCACGTCTCAGTTTTCGATCAAATTTGAAGATGTTTGCGCAAATATCAAAATGCGAAAAAGTCTTTTGTCACCAATATTTCCAGTCAACGACGTGCAATTGAGACTTTCCTCCCGCATCCGGAATAGTATTGTCCAACATTACCTCGATTTAATGCTTCCATGCAGTCATGCAGCCGTCCTGTGGGCACAAACTCGGCAGCCGCACCAGCTTCTTACCCACTGAGTGACCCTTCTTAACCAGCACACTAAACGCACCCGCACAGATGAGTAGCGTCAGCAGTACGGAACGGATCAGCCGCTCGAACGCATAGCTCTGGCCACTGGAACGGTACGTCTCCACAAGAAAGAAGACAGCTACAAGTCCCAGTAGTTTTGTTAACGCCGACTCGAGACTCTCACCCTGGGCCTCAAACGGTGTACGCTTGCTGCGCGAGGCCACATAGCGTCCTAGTAGCAGGTCTAGAACGTCTTGTCGATATCCGTCCATGAAATTGTTCTTGATATAACGCATACACGAATTGTAGCCATCCAGGAGCGCACCCTTCCTCGTGCGCTTGCCGGTGCGTGTAAAGTCCGTCTTGAGGGCTCCTGTACCGGCATACAACAGGCTGATTGCATCGGCGTTGTTACCCCAAACGCGTTTAAACGTGCACTCGAACTCCTCAAACGGTGAGCTGAGCACATTTCCTTGTAGCGCCTCGATCTCGCTTAACTGAAGCATCAAACTGCGCCGGCCGAAGAGCGACTAAAAAAAGAAAGCAGTAAGCAAGCATCAAATCAAGAGACCTACAAATGCCGAGAGACAACATCGAAGTGACGTCTCACCTGTACGACGTTCGTGCGGTCGAGGTTGTCCATGCAATTGGTGCGCACCACGCCGGACTGTTTGTGTACCACAACGCCATCTGCGCCCTTGCAAAAGAATCTATAGCAACAGCGTGATCACGTTCAGACTGTTAAATGTCCGGCCGAAAAGGTTTGTACAATACATGTCACCGGCACAACAAACTCACTTACCCGTGATCCAAAAAGTCGTCATCAACTTGCTTGATCAGTTTCTCAAGCATGCCCCATTGCATGTTGCGGCACTCGTGGTGGAAGTCGAACCACACAAGTCGCACGGCCGCAAGAATGTGCGAGTCTTTGGTAGCAGCGTCGGCAACGGTCTTTGCCATCGCTTCGCCGAGCTTGAGCTGTTCCTTCTTCTTGTCGATGAGATTAACGAACAACACTCGACCGTAAAGCGACATGAGCTCGTACGCATGTTTCTGAAAGGCGGCGACGTCACGATCAGTGTCGCTCGCCTGGAAGACCTCAGGCGCGTACTTCATTGAAGCGGGGGAGCTCCAGAAAACTGGAATCGAGCCACGAATCTGAACAAACGACGTCTGTCGTCCGTTGTCAAAGAGGCAAATCTGCTCTGTCTCGACAAAATTGGCGACATTGCCATCAGCATCAACCCCTCGCATCGTAAAGCGCATTCCCTGCCGCTTGCACGACCGTCTCGAAAGGTACAAAATCCGAAACGACTTATCATGCACCGTCAGTCGTTCCGTCAACTCGACATGAGCCTGCATCATCGGAGTCACCCACTCAAACAGCTTTTGCTCTACGAACAAAGTAGCAACAAAACAAACAACCGTCAGTAAAATCAAGATAAAAACAGCATTGGAATCCCAAACTCGTCCCCGTCTTCAACCGTACCGATAAACGCCGCGCACAGCGTTTTGTTCCAAAAGAACCGCTCGTCTGCCCGCTCAGCAATACTGCGACTATTATCATCAAACGATGCAATCCCTGCACCAATCAGAAGGTAATCAAAATAGATACAAACAAGTCGTCAGTTCCTTCTACGTCCATAGCGTCTCTCTCCAGCGTACAAAAACCGGTCTACGTTGCAGTGTGTGCGTGAGGTCAAAGTCCCTGGAAAAGTGCAGCTGCTGGGCCTCAATGTCGCTTGTAATCATGTCAATGAACGTGCGTTCGTCCTGCTCTTGCTGTGGTGTGAGCACGGGCAAGTGCTGCGTGGGAATGAGCAGGAGCTCCAGCTTCTGCACCACGCGGATCTCGGCGTCCCCTACCCCTCTTGCTGCCACTTTCGACTGCGTTACTGCAGCCAAATAGGGGCCACGGAGCAGCCAAAAGACGCCGTAGATGGCGTCAAAGACCATGCGACGGCCGTGGACGTGCTGAGAGTCCTTCACGTGCTCGACGCGCAGTCCAAGCGACGCGTCAGTGGCGGAGCAGCGAGCGATGTGCAGACTCAGGGGCTCCAACGGGTGCAGCACCACGAGGAAATCGTCCTGCACCACGAGCTCGTACGTGTTCTTGGGCTTGGTCGCGACCGCCATCACGCGTCAGGGAAGTCAGGAGGCGGGATGGATACGTGGCACCACCGTGTTGACTCGACTAAGTGCGAAAGAGAGGACAGGTTTGTGTTACGTGACGAACACGAGCTACGGAGAGGATGATGTGGACACATGAAAGACGGTGGAGATGCACGTCGAGCTGTGAACGTCGAGTTAGAGTCGAACATCGAAGCGAGCGCTCGTGATCGGGACTAAACTGAGAAAGTCTTGAATGCAGCGTTCAATTGGGACGACCACGTACTGTGTTGACACATGCTCAAGCAAATGCATGACTTGCTACAAAGCTTCATAGACACGCCATAGCGCCGTCCCAATGCGGTGTCATTCTTGAGTGTACCAAGCGAGTTGCCTTTGGCTAGAAGTGGACCATCATCAGGTGTCATGATACTGGTACCTGAGCATTGCAATCGGGTACTTGACAGCGACACATTTAGGCAATACAAAGGCGTAACAAGACCTAGCTCATACATCTTTTGATCCTGCTCGTGACGGCATGGAGTCCGCTGGCACCACATACCCAAAAGATTTGCTGCCAAGAAACGTCAAGTAGGGCTCCACATCTGTACTCGCTTGCGGGATGAAGTTGCGTCCATCCCAGTACGCCCGTCGAGTCCATCCTGCGAGCTGCACGCACCGCAGCAGCAGATGCCCATTATCTTCCGTCACAGATTCTACTCGGCACAACAAGTGTGCTACGCAGTCACGCAGTGCGATACTCTGGTGGATAGCACGAGCAATTCCTTGCTCTGCCACCTCTTTCTTGGACAATTTCCGCTTCTTCGTCTGCACGTTGTCGTCATCTCGAACTTCCTGGCGCTCTATACCGGCTGGTCCACAGACAGCAATGCCAAATTTCTCAAACTTGTCCGTCTCGGCTCCAGTGCAGCCGCCTATAGCCAAGACCAGATCTTCCATCCCTCGAACCGGAACATTTAGAACGAAAACAGCACCCGCGTGCTTTATAAATTTGACCGAATGTCGTGCAGCATTGATCGAGCAAATGAACCCGCCGTGGTTGTTAATGGCCGTGATCCACGAGATCGTCATGACATTGCGAGCGCTGCCGTCGCTGTTGCATACGGACAGCAGGCATACTGGATTCGGGTACAGCAGCCTGGAGAGCAGGCCTTTACTTACAGCCACCCAGTCCATCGACGACGCTCTATTTTTAGTGTCCCACAAGGTCTTTTTCTGACCGCATGTCACATAGACAGTCCCGTCTCCCAGGTTCCCTATTGCCATTTGGTTGAGAAAAGCGCAGGCAGTGTGCACACAAACGGGACACGACGAGTGTGTCCAACCCATCTCCTTCCGTACTTATTGATTGTGTCGCTGTGAGATAAGGACCCTTAACTTTAGGGTTTCATTTAACTTTCGATCACTAAAACGGAGTCATGGCTGTCGGAGGCTCCAAGAAGGTGGCGAGCATGGTCTATTATGACCTCATGGGCATCGAGGCGGATGCCACGCCTGAGCAGATAAAGAAAGCGTATCGTCGGAAGGCGCTGCAGCTGCATCCGGACAAAAGGGGCAACACGCCCGAGTCTCAGGAGGAGTTTACGCGCATGAAGCAGGCGTACGACGTGCTCTCGGACCTGCAAAAGCGCGAGGTTTACGACCGGTATTGTCTCGACACCATCTGTTTCGTATCGATTCGTGATTTTGTTGATTGATTTGATTTGTGTTTTGGACCTGATATGATTTCGTATTTGATTACAGAGTGGGTGAAGATGGTATCAAACTCATGGAAGACTTTGGTAGCATGAGTCCGGAAGAATTGTCGATTTTGGTATTCCGGTCTATGGGTGCATTTGGTGTCGGGGGAAAGTGTGCGCTCATTCTCTTCGTGTCACTGCTCTTTGGCTTTTTCCTGCTCATTCCAAGTACGAGACAAATTGGCTTTCAAATTGGCTTTGTTTGCTTGTGTTTTCGGAACTAAGTACATCTATGTGTTGTGCATGCAACTTGCAGTTTTCTGGTGTCTGAGAGCAGACTCGACGATTTCTTGGAACTGGGCGGTGGTCTGCATCCCGTTGTGGATTGCAGACGCCATTTACTACTGCTGCTTGGGCTGCGTGTTTGCGTCTTCGGGCGTCGAGGACGTCAATCTAGACGGAAAAGCACCGGAAAAACCGGCGCTATACAAGCTATACGCGTTCCTTAAGGCGCTGCTGCTACTGGTGCTGCAGATTTTCTTAGCCCTGAAGCTGAATGGAGATGTCCGGTGGACTTTGATTCAGGCACTGATCCCGTATTTTGTTTACGAGGGTCTCAATTTCCTCGAAGGATTGGCTGGGGGAGTACTAGGCTATGGTATGCTGACGAAGAACAGCGAAGGAGCGGGTGTGACACACACTGAGGACATTAAAAAGCAACGCACAGCTCTTGTTATCGCCGTGGCTAGAAAATTGATTCTGAACCTTGCCCGGATTGCTCAAGCTGTGCTACTGGGACTTAAGGTGGACCACGATGCGCGTGATGTCAGCTGGTGGCTCATCTTCATTCCGGTATGGCTTTACATCGCATTCTTCGTCTCGTTTCCTGTTCGAAAGTACTTTCGCAGCAAAAAGACGAAGGCGCCAAAGTCCAAGTCGACTTCGCCGAGTCGACAGCACACGCACGATGATTACGCTCGCGAGTCTGTCAGCGAAGATGAAGATGAGCCTGTTTCTAAGTTTCCGCTACTGGATGCGCTTTGCACAATCCTCGTAATTGGCGCACTCACCTCGCCTTTCTTCATCCTATCAGCGAGACTGCAACATGGCTCTTTTTCCAGTATCTTCGTGCTTCTACCTTGGCTCGTTGTGGTTCGTACATTATGGATGAACGCTACTCCTGTTATCTACTAATCCTGACGACCGTTTATGCTACAGACAGGACTTATTTTTTGCTTTATATGCTGCGCAATATCTTGCGTAGGTTTCCGGGACCCAGAAGACGGTGGAGAGTCCGAGCAAGCAGCAGAGGAGGGTACCGAAAAAGCGTCGATGGCCGAGGAAGGTGCGGCTGTTCGTACAGATTACGTTTCTGTCCACATGGATTGAGTGGCAAAGAAAGAAGTCGCGTGTGGTGCAGTCGGATGTGCAAGGGCTGTAGTGTCCGCGTGCTGGTCTCCTGTTGCAAATTTGCTTACGATCTCTATTATATTAATGGAACGCGATTGTGGTTGCTCTCGATGTTGTTGTTCTTGCAATGTGTACAGTTGTCTAAACACACTACAGTTGCGACAGAACAATGAAAGAGAGGGGTCAAATGATTGCTTGTACTATGAGTAAGTAGTCTTCGTATGCACCGGAAACAGCAGACCACCGAAGCGGTGGGATAAGGGATTTCTGTACAAGCTCGACTGAGCTTATTTGCCTGCATTCACTTCGCTGGGATGCTGTTGTAATCGGATGAGTATGAAGGCAGCAGATCATCAAAACACTAAGAGAAATTGTGTAATGATGTTTGAGCCCGTTTCCACTTTGCACTTCTACAAGAGTGATCCAGCTAATGCACTCAGTCATATCCTGTGAAAACAACACTTTGTGAGTACACTCAGCGAAGGTGTGCATCCAATATGCTCTCACTGGATACAACTGTTGCGTCAAGAATCAGAGCTCAAACTGGAAAAGCGTTGTGCATTACGTGGGGTAGTTTCCGAATATAAAAGAACAACAGTCGTACTATGAGTAAGTCGAGTCTGTAACGGGGTGAACCGTTGCATAACAATTTATAAGAAATTGTTAATAGAGTATAACTATAAGAGTTAAATTCTCAGAATATTGTCATAAGGACAATATTCTGTAGCACTTCCAAGTAGTTCCTAATTGGTTGATATAGGCCATTATATCAACCAACGAAGACGCGCCGCGACAGACGCACGCAATGAGTGGTGAGCAGATAGTTGATTTACACATTTGTATTTAGACATAGTTAGATGAAGATAAATAGTGATTTATTGCAGACATTAACTATTATAAATACAGTTCTACTTTTTACTTTAACCAATTACTCGCTTCACCTTACCGTCTTCCTCTGCACGTACGAGTGTACGTGAAGTTACGAGGCACCGCCTTATTCTGTTATCAGAATAAGTAGCTTGTACTGTCACCAGTACAAGCTTCAGGGTGCCCCGTTACACCTGGTAGCACTTCGTAGTCCGTCCAAGGACCGCGTTCACATCCAACATGAATATGTTGGATGATGAAGATGACCAAAGCTTTTACGCTACGCGTGACGGCTACTCCCCTTTGAGCAATGTCGAATGGGATGCGGTTGAACGGATGGGTTCAACCATGGGCATCCATGCTGTTAGCGTCATGCGAGAGGCTCTCAATAGAGATGCCCAACATGCTACTATCGCCAAGTTCATTCAAAATGAACTTGACGCAGAACGCGAGAAAGTAGCCTTGCTTCACCAACAAGGTTCTCAACAAGCAGAGTTGTTGAGAGAACGGGTGCTCAACAGTTTGAACTGTTGAGACAGCAGCAGGCTGCTGCTGGTGGGTAGATGCATTCGCGTCGACCCAAGACCTTGAAGATTGACATCTCCAAGTATAGAGGAGTCGAAGAGGACTCCCTCTTGAGATGGTTTGTCGAATTAGACGACGCCATAAGGGCGCGTCGCATCGACGATGGGGAGATGCAAGTTGCATTTGCCCAATCAAATCTGGCAGGACGTGCCAAGACTTGGGCTTTGGGGCTCAAGTTGCACGAGCCATATGCGTTTGGGTCGTTAGAAGTCTTCAAGTCGCGGCTCAGACAAACGTTGAAACCACCTAGAGCTGAGTTCAGGGCTCGAACTAGGAGTTCCAACTCGGTTGATGAACACACGTTGGTTTTGGTGTTCATACAGGGTCTTGCGGATGGTCCCGTCAAGACTCACCTGTTCCGGCTTGAACTAGATTCACTAGAACAAGCCATTTCCATTGCTGAACAGGAAGACTTCAGTCTGAGACAGGCTCGCGCCAACTCGACATCATATCGTCAACCGAGACGATATGACAGCGGAGGTCCAGAGCCGATGGAACTCTGTTATGTAAAGAGCGAGAAGGCTCGCTCTACAGACAACAAAAGGTTGCAGAAATGCAACAGATGTCAGAAGACAGGAAGCTACGCTTACGAGTGTAGTGCCCCTCGTCCAGTGTCTCGCAACACTGGGCGTAGTGACCGTCCACCCATGAGAAAGGGGCAGGGACGCGGGTCCGCTGTTGGTGCAAAGACGCAACAACGGGATGGACCGTCAAAAAATGGACAGGATCAGTAGGTGCGGAGCACCCTACTGGTCCAGCAACGTCAAGAGAATTTGTAGGCCTCTTGACGAAGGTTGCTCCCAACACACAAACGTTGTGCGTTGCTGCTCTAGGTAATGAGATCTCACTCATTACCATGAAACTCGAAGTGACAAATAAGTTTTCCCTTCGAGCTCTAGTCGATTGTGGGGCGTCCAATAATTTTGTGCGACGCCAATCGCTGGAAGATGGTCACTTTAAATTCAGTGAATGTGACACACCTCCTACGAGGATGACCGTACGTCTTGCGACAGGCGCATCCGTAACCGTCATGAAGCGTATAGTGAAGATCCGCTATTTGCTAGAAGATACCCAATATGACGATGACTTTATCGTATTGGATTTGGATGACAAATTTGATGTCATCCTTGGAATACCGTGGCTCAGAAGGTACGAACCACGGGTTAACTGGCAACATCGAACAGTAACGATGCCTGCCGCTTGTCCATCAGATGGCCATCTGATGAACGTTTTGATTCGTCCACAAGCGTGTGGATGTACTACGAGTGAGTGCGATGGCCTCACTTGTGGTACCGTCGTTAGTACGACTGCACAAAACCTAAGTGTAACAAACATTTACACTTCGGAGCAAGCTTCCGGCGGCTGTGAGGAAACACAGGCTGCGCCGAAGGTCCACCACTCGAATAAGTCGGGTGGACTGGGACAAAGATGTATCCCTAGCGAGGAACATCTAGAAGAGAAACCATCGATCGCTCAGGTTAAGCGAAACGATAATCCTAGATCGACTGGAGAGTCTTTCGTAGAGGATCTCGCTGTTGTTGCGCAACCACAGCTAGAGGAAGTAAAGGGAATAACTCCCAATAATACAGACACGGTGGAAATAAGTTCCCCGAAACCCGCGGGAATAAGTCCCCGGGAAGCCGAAGGAATAAGTCCTTCGAAGCCTGAGGGAATAAGTCCCCAGGAAATGACAGAGACATTGAATGTCATAGTCAATGATGGATTAAGTGTAGGCGCTTATACGCTTGATCTGACTGCGCCTCCGAAGTTGACTTCGGAGATCACTCAGTTGCCAAAGCTCGAACATAAAAGGTTCTTGCGTGATCTGCGTAGTGGCAAAGTCAAGCAGATCTGCGTACTCGTGGCTGAAGACGAGTGTGTAGCCGACATAAGGTCAGCAACAGTGTTTGCTGAGAACGAGAGAGCTCTCAGTAGTTCATCGATAGACGAGAGTGTCCTGGATGAAAAGACACGAGTTGAGCGATATGACTCCCAATCGTGGGAATCGCTCAAGACAAATCCTCTTTATGAAGATTTGGTTGAATTCAAGGATGTATTCCCTGAAACTGTTCCGTACGAATTACCGAAGGATAAAGGTACTCGACACGAGGTCAAGCTTAAACCAGGCTCGAAGCACTGTGTCATGAAGCAGTGGACACTGCCTCGTGAACAAGTACTTGCGATCGACAAGTTCTTTGCCGATCGTTTAGCTGCGGGCCATGTGAGGGAATCAACTTCCCCACATAGCTCTCCTACCTTCTGTGTGCGAAAAGCAACAGGAGGGTGGCGGATAGTGCACGCGTTCAACAAATTGAACGCTGCAACGGTACCGGCTCAGACGCCGATACCGAGGAAGGACGTAATCATAGATGGTATGTCAAAGAGTACCATCTTTTCGTCCATGGATTTGATGGATGGCTTCTATCAAATCCTTATGCGGGAACGGGATATACCCTATACCGCAGTTAGCACGCCTAGCGGCATGCTCTGGGAATGGCTAGTAATGACACAAGGGATTAGTAATGCCCCTGCCACGTTCAACAGATGTGTGTCACATCTGTTGAGACCAGTACGAGAATTCGCGCCGAGTAATTTCGATGACGTATTCATCCATAGTCGAGCTATGGATGGAAAGTCGGACGTTGAGGTTCACAGGTACCACGTCCGACAGGTTCTTACAATCATGCGAAAGCATCAATTGTATGCTAACCTCAAGAAGTGTATATTTGCAGCAAGCGAAATACCACTTCTCGGGTGCATCGTTGGTAAGAACGGTGTACGTCCTGATACGGAAAAGATCAAGGCGATCACCGACTGGCCTGTGCCGGTTGATGTCAAAGGTCTTCGAAAATTCCTTGGGCTAGCGGCGTATTTGCATAAGTATTCACGCAATTACGCCGAGATGACTGTGCACCTCTCTCGTTTGTTGAAAAAGAACGAGAGGTGGTTATGGAACGCTGAATGTCAGCGCTCCTTTGATGGTATCAAGCAGAGCTTGATACAATCCCCAGTCCTAGCAATTGCCGATCAGGACAGGCCATTTCATGTGGTCTGTGATGCCAGCGATTTCGCAATCGGCTGTGCATTAATGCAGTACGATCTTGAAGGCGTTGAACGCGTCGTCTGCTATCAGTCGCGTCAGCTGCAACCAGCTGATCGGAACTATCCAGTGCATGACAAGGAACTCCTTGCCATGAAGTATGCACTCGCGAAGTTCAGAGTCTATCTATTAGGAGATAGACCCTTCGTTGTTTGAACAGCCCGCACCTTTCACAACGAATGGTGCGGTGGTTGTCATTCTTTGCAGAATACAACTTTACGGTCGAGTACAAACCAGGAAGACTTAATGTCGTCGCTGATGCACTCTCACGTCGTCCCGACTTTGAACCAGTCGTGAAACCCAACAGTGAGACAGCCACTGTTGTGGTTATGACGTCCTCAGTCCCATCTACAACGTTGTATGATGATGTGAGGAGGGCGTATACCCAAGATGGTGAGATAGTGAAGTTGTTGACACATCTCTCACAGCCATCTCGAGAATCGTTGAAACGATTGTCGTCTGCGTATCGATCTGCATCAGATCAATACACTAATCGCAACGGTTTACTGTACTATACAGCCGTTTCTGGTGACACACCACGTGTTGTCATTCCAGATGATACTGATCTGCGTTTGCGGATCATGTTCGAGTATCACGATGCTCCTATAGGAGGACATCGTGGCCGAGAGAAAACATATCTCACGGTAAGTCGAGACTTTTACTGGCCCCGCCAGTATCAGTTTGTGCGAAAGTATGTTCGCGCATGCGAAGTCTGCCAACGAGTGAAGTCAAGTCCTTCACTGCGTGCACCTTTACAGCCTCTACCGGTTCCGGCTGAGTGCTGGGAATCCATCTCAATGGATTTCGTCTTCGGGTTACCCAAAGACGCACGCGGGAATACGGGTATTCTCGTATTTGTTGACAGATTCAGCAAAATGGTACACCTTGTGGCTGTACCAGAGACAATCACGGCAAGTGGCTGTGCTTGTGTCTTTATTGACACCATCTTCCGACTTCATGGGTTGCCCCGTGAACTCGTATCAGACAGAGATCCACGATTCACTGCTGATTTCTGGCGTTCCGTGTTCAAATCACTCGGAACGCGCTTGAAGATGTCAACATCTGATCATCCAGAGTCAGATGGTCAGACGGAACGTGCCAATCGTGTCCTTGAAGAGATACTTCGAGGATACGTACACTCCTTTAAGAGTTGGAGTGAGTTTTTGCCAATGGTAGAGTTTGCCATTAACAACTCGGTGCATGCGTCCACGACACATACACCGTTTTACGTGAATGGCTTGCGCCATCCGCGTGTACCCACCTTACTAGAGTGTAACTCTGGTTTAAGGGGGGAGGGACTCGCGCGAGCAAAAATCGATTTGGTTCACGCTCATCACGCTCTGACGAAGAGGTCATTGCGTTTGATGCCGATATCGATAACATCGATATCGAAGAAGATGATGCCAGTGAGATCGCGGAATCCATCACTGAAGAACGATTGATGTTGCTGCAGTGCACTCACAGCGCACTGAAGCTAACGAGTCATCAGATGAGTTCATACTGGCTCGTGAAACGGTAGTCCGTTTTGTGCAAGACTCCATCGCCAAAGCGATGGATAAGCAAAAGCAAAACGCAGACAAGAATGGAAGGGGAAACACTCTTTTATTTAATAAAGGTGACTTAGTCCTACTGTCTACGGTTAATCTACCAAAGCATGTAGTGACTAACTTGGGTAGCAGTAAACTTCTACCCAAGTGCATCGGCCCATTTCGTGTACTGCACCGCCTAGGCAATGCATACACGATCGAACTGCCACGTAAGACGCGAACGCATCCCTCGTTTTACGTTGGTCGGCTTAAGCCGTACCATCAGTATGCGGCTTCTTCCGATGAAGAACGCCCTTGCGCTCAAGCATCTCACAGAGAGCCTTGTTCTCCCGTGGTGGAAATTAACAAGGGTCTGAAGAGCAGTTATCTCAGCCCGAGACCGGTCAATATACCCACGAGCTACCCTTAGCTCGTCACGCAGAGACGTCAGAACTCTCTCGTTCTCAAGCTGAGCAAAGGCAAACTCAGCTAGATGCTTCGAGACAGTGTCCGCCAGTTGGAGACGCCTGTCCCGTTCATGCTCGAGGTCGCCGCGCAACGCAAGAGTTACGCGATCAAAGAGGCTCTCAGGGACACACGCTCCCCCACGATAGTTTGGAGAGCGTTTTCCCTCGACCTTTCACCTCCATTGGAGGACTCTCGCGGTGGACAGAGCTATCTAGTTGAGCAGCTGTTGAACCACCGCGATGTGAACGGACGTCGGACGAGTTATCTCGTCCGGTGGCGCGGCTATCCCTCGTCCTGGGATTCTTGGGAGCCCCGCTCCCAATTGATGGTTGACGTACTGGGTCTGGTTGAGCAGTACGACGCGGCACATTCTGTGCCGCAGAAGGACCGCCGGAGAAAGTCTTCCCGGCACGGTCGTAAAGGGATTTCAGATTGTCAATCCCTTCGTACATCTCAGTAGAGATACGTACGCGCCACCAAGGGCTAGTAAGGAGGTAAGCCTCCTTAGGTGCTCGTGCAGAGTTGTTCACACAACATGGGCACGAGTCTCCCCAAGAGAGGCAGGGTAATCCTTTTTCCCTTGACAGACGATGCAGCTTGTAGCGTGCACCTGTCGGGGTTCGCTTTTCAAACTTATCACGAGCTTTGATAAGTTTGGCGTTCCAAACGTCACAACCTGCATCCTCAAGGTTATGGATGTAAGCGTTCCACGGTTGAAGCAGTGAGGGACCATCACGTTTGTGATTCCCACTGTACCATCGATGCTTAGAGAAAGCATCGATGAAGAATACCTGCTTAGTGTGATAGTCTTTCGCACTGGGGTCAAGGTGATGGATCCTTGACGAATTGAATAATCGTGTTCGATAACGATCACTTGTCGTCGCCGACAAGCGATCCATGACTGACTTTGGAGGCAGCCATGCTTTCTTTTCGGAAGCGAGACGCAAGACATTGCGGTCCCGCTCTTCCTGCAACGTGCCGACAGAAGGACTGGCACCTCGCTGTGAAGTGGTGTCCATAGGAGAACAGACACCACTGTTAGCGCCCAAGTCTCGCGACCTCGAGCGCCTTCGCTTTGGCGATGGTTCATCCTATTCATCAGATGAACCAAAGATGCTGCGACGCAAAGCATCATCCATGCCACGCTTGGCAGGCGGCTTGGTTTCAACCGCTTTCGATACGGATCCGTCATCCGTATCAGGAGAGTATGAGACACCGAGCTCATACTCTGTGAAGACATGAGTGTCTTCATGACGAGCGCCTGCATCCCGGGTGATACAGGCTGAGTCGATTCAGCAACCGATGGGACATCAGTTGCTGTAGTTTCTGCTTCGGCGTCCGCACAGAGACGTGCAGACGCGCTCTCGGCGGCCTTGCTCGCGCATCGCATGGGCTTGTTTACCATGCGATGAGATGTTGGAAAGTGGACTCGGACCAACACACAAGTGCAAACCCTGTCCCAAGTGATTTGGGACGAGTATCCATATAGTCAATCAGTCACTAAATTGACTGATGGTTAAGGGGGGTTATGTAATGGGGTGAACCGTTACATAACAATTTATAAGAAATTGTTAATAGAATATAACTATAAGAGTTATATTCTCAGAATATTGTCATAAGGACAATATTCTGCAGCACTTACGAGTAGTTCCTAATTGGTTGATATAGGCCATTATATCAACCAACGAAGACGCGCCACGACAGACGCACGCAATGAGTGGTGAGCAGATAGTTGATTTACACATTTGTATTTAGACATAGTTAGATGAGAATAAACAGGGGTTTATTGCAGACATTAACTATGCTAAATACAGTTCTACTTTTTACTTTAACCAAGTACTCGCTTCTTCTTACCGTCTTCCTCTGCACGTACCAGTGTACGTTAGGTGTAACGGGGCACCCTGAAGCTTGTACTGGTGACAGTACAAGCTACTTATTCTGATAACAGAATAAGGCGGTGCCTCGTAACTTCACGTACACTCGTACGTGCAGAGGAAGACGGTAAGAAGAAGCGAGTACTTGGTTAGAGTAAAAAGTAGAACTGTATTTATAATAGTTAATGTCTGCAATAAATCACTATTTATCTTCATCTAACTATGTCTAAATACAAATGTAAATCAACTATCTGCTCACCACTCATTGCGGCGTCTGACTGCGATCGGTTGATATAATGGCCTATATCAACCAGTGGAACTACTCGTAAGTGCTACAGAATATTGTCCTTATGACAATATTCTGAGAATATAACTCTTATAGTTATATTCTATTAACAATTTCTTATAAAGTGTTATGTAACGATTCACCCCGTTACATCACCCCCCTTAACCATCGGTCACTTTAGTGACTGATTGACTAAATGGATCTCGTCCCAAATCATTGGGACGGGTTTGCGCACTTGTTGGTCCGCGTCCACTTTCCAACATCTCATCGCATGGTAAACAAGCCCATGCGATGCGAGGCCGCCGGGGCACGTCTCTGATGCCGAAGCAGTGACGGCAACTGATGTCCCATCGAGTTGCTGAATCGACTCTGTATCACCTGGTGATGCAGGGCTCGTCTGTGACATGGTGTCTTCATGAAGATCGAGTGTCTCAGTACTCTCCTGATACGGATGACGGATCCGCCGATGAATGCGGAAGCGCATGCCAAGGTGGCTGTGTTGCGTCGCAGCATTTTTTTTCATCTGATGAATAGGATGAACCATCGCCAAAGCGAAGGCTCGAAGTCGCGGACACTGGCGTTAACTATGATCAGCACTTCAGTCAGGCATCTGTCGGATTGGCGATCGGACCATGTCTTGCGTCTCGCTTCCGAAAAGCATGGCTGCCTCCAAAGTCAGTCATGCTTCGTCGGCGACGATCGTTGTCGAAACGATTATTCAATTCGTCAAGGATCCATCACCTTGACCCCAGTGCGAAGACTATCACCTAAGCAGGTATTCTTCATCGATGCTTTCTCTAAGCATCGATGGCAGTGGGAATCACAAACGTGATGGTCCCTCACTGCTTCAGGCGTGGAACGCCTACATCCATAATCTCGAGGATGTAGGTCGTGACGCTTGGAACGCCAGGCTTATCGAAACTAAATTTGAAAAGCGAGCCCGGCGACAAGCTGCATCGTCTGTCAAGGAGAGGATTGCCCTGCCTTTCTTGGGGAGACTCGTGCCCATGTTGTGTGCTGAAAACTCTGCACGTGCAGTAAGTACGCTCCTTACCAGCCCGTGGTGGCGCGTACGTGTCTCTACTGAGATGTACGAAGGGATTGACAACCTGAAATCCCTTTACGACCGTGCCGGACACACTTCTGTCCTTCTGCGGCAGGGATGTGTCGCCGTACTCTCCAGTACATCAACCATCAGTGGGAGCGGGTCAGAATCCCCAGGACGGGGGATAGCCGCGCCACCGGACGAGGTAACTCGTCCGACGTCCGTTCACGTCGCGGTGGTTCAACAGCTGCTCTACTAGATACTGTTCACCGCGAGAGTCTTCAAGTGGAGGGGTGAAGGTCGAGGAAAGACGCTCTCCCACGTATCGATGTGGATGAGCGTGTTCCCGAGCCTCTTTGATCGCGTAACTCTAGCGTTGCGCGGCGATCTCGAGCATGAGCAGGAGGCAGTCTCTACATGGTGACACTCCCTCGAAGCATCGAGCTGAGTTTGCCTTTGCTCAGCTTGAGAACGTGAGATCTCTGACATCTCTTAGGGGGTGGAGCTCAGTGGTACTGACCGGTCCGTGGGCTGAGATAACTGCTCTTCAGACCCTTTTTCACCATCGGGAGCACAATGCTCTCTGCAGATTGAGCGCAAAGGCGTTCTTCATCGGAAGAAGCAGCGTACTGATGGTACGGCTTAAGCCGACCAACGTAAAACGTGGGATGCGTTCGCATCTTACGTGGTAACTCGATCGTGTATGCATTTGCCTAGGCGGTGCAATACGAAATGGACCAATGCTCTTGGGTAGTAGTTTACTGCTACCCCAAGTTAGTCACTACATGTTTTGGTAGATTAACCGTAGACAGTAGGACTAAGTCACCTTTATTAAATAAAATAGTGTTTGCCCTTCCATTCTTGTCAGCGTTTTGCTTTTTGCTTATCCACCGCTTCGGCGATGGAGTCTTGCACAAAACGGACTACCGTTTCACGAGCCAGTATGAACTCATCTGATGACTCGTTAGCTTCAGTGTGCTGTGAGCGCACTGCAGCAACATCAACCTTTTCTTCAGTGAGGGCTTCCGCACTCTCACTAGGATCATTGTCTTCAGTGAGGGCTTCCGCACTCTCACTGGCATCATCTTCTTCGATATCGATGTTATCGATATCGGCATCAAACGCAATGACTTCTTCGTCAGGCGTGATGAGCGTGAACCAAATCGGTTTTTGCTCGCGCGAGTCCCTCCCCCCTAAAACCACAGTTACACTCTAGTAAGGTGGGTACACGCGGATGGCGCAAGCCATTCACGTAAAACGGTGTATGTGTCGTGGACGCATGCACCGAGTTGTTGATGGCAAACTCTACCATCGGCAAAAACTCACTCCAACTCTTAAAGGAGTGTACGTATCCTCGAAGTATCTCTTCAAGGACACGATTGGCACGTTCCGTCTGACCATCTGACTCTGGATGATCAGATGTTGACATCTTCAAGCGCGTTCCGAGTGATTTGAACACGGAACGCCAGAAATCAGCAGTGAATCGTGGATCTCTGTCTGATACGAGTTCACGGGGCAACCCATGAAGTCGGAAGATGGTGTCAAAAAGACACAAGCACAGCCACTTGCCGTGATTATCTCTGGTACAGCCACAAGGTGTACCATTTTGCTGAATCTGTCAACAAATACGAGAATACCCGTATTCCCGCGTGCGTCTTTGGGTAACCCGAAGACTAAATCCGATGAGATGGATTCCCAGCACTCAGCCGGAACCGTAGGGACTGTAAAGGTGCACGCAGTGAAGGACTTGACTTCACTCGTTGGCAGGACTTCGCATGCGCGAACATACTTTCGCACAAACTGATACTGGCGGGGCCAGTAAAAGTCTCGACTTACCGTGAGATATGTTTTCTCTCGGCCACGATGTCCTCCTATAGGAGCATCGTGATACTCGAACATGATCCGCAAACGCAGATCAGTATCATCTGGAATGACAACACGTGGTGTGTCACCAGAAACCCGGCTGTATAGTACAGTAAACCGTTACGAGTAGTGTATCGATCTGATGCAGATCGATACGCAGACGACAATCGTTTCAACGATTCTCGAGATGGTTGGGAGAGATGTGACAACAACTTCACTATCTCACCATCTTGGGTATACGCCCGCCTCACATCATCATACAACGTTGTAGATGGAACTGAGGACGTCATAACCGCAACAGTGACTGTCTCACTGTTGGGTTTCGCGACTGTTTCAAAGTCGGGACGACGTGAGAGTGCATCAGCGACGACATTAAGTCGTCCTGGTTTGTACTCGACCGTAAAGTTGTATTCTGCAAAGAATGACAACCACCGCACCATTCGTTGTGAAAGGTGCGGGCTGTTCACTGCCGGGAACGACGCATGGTCAGTGTAATCAACGAAGGGTTATCTCCTAATAGATAGACTCTGAACTTCGCGAGTGCATACTTCATGGCAAGGAGTTCCTTGTCATGCACTGGATAGTTCCGCTCAGCTGGTTGCAGCTGACGCGACTGATAGCAGACGACGCGTTCAACGCCTTCAAGATCGTACTGCATTAATGCACAGCCGATTGCGAAATCGCTGGCATCACAGACCACATGAAATGGCCTGTCCTGATCGGCTATTGCTAGGACTGGGGATTGTATCAAGCTCTGCTTGATACCCTCAAAGGAGCGTTGACATTCAGCGTTCCAAACCTACCTCTCGTTCTTTTTCAACAAACGAGAGGTGTACAGTCATCTCGGCGTAATTGCGTGAATACTTATGCAAATACGCCGCTAGCCCAAGGAATTTTCGAAGACCTTTGACATCGACCGGCACGGGCCAGTCGGTGATCGCCTTGATCTTTTCGGGATCAGGACGTACACCGTTCTTACCAACGATGCACCCAAGAAGTGGTATTTCGCTTGCTGCAAATATACACTTCTTGAGGTTAGCATACAATTGATGCTTTCGCATGATTGTAAGAACTTGTCGGACGTGGTACCTGTGAACCTCAACGTCCGACTTTCCATCCATAGCTCGACTATGGATGAATACGTCATCGAAATAACTCGGCGCGAATTCTCGTACTGGCCTCAACAGATGTGATACACACCTGTTGAACGTGGCAGGGGCATTACTGAGCCCTTGTGGCATTACTAGCCATTCCCAGAGCATGCCGCTAGGCGTGCTAACTGCGGTATAGGGTATATCCCGTTCCCGCATTAGGATTTGATAGAAGCCATCCATCAAATCCATGGACGAAAAGATGGTACTCTTTGACATACCATCAATGATTACGTCCTTCCTCGGTATCGGCGTCGTGAGCCGGTACCGTTGCAGCGTTCAATTTGTTAAACGCGTGCACTATCCGCCACCCTCCTGTTGCTTTTCGCACACAGAAGGTCGGAGAGCTATGTGGGGAAGTTGATTCCCTCACATGGCCCGCTGCTAAACGATCGGCGAAGAACTTGTCGATCGCAAGTACTTGTTCACGAGGCAGTGGCCACTGCTTCATGACACAGTACTTCGAGCCTGGTTTAAGCTCGACTTCGTGTCGAATACCTTTATCCTTCGGTAATTCGCACGGAACAGTTTCAGGGAATACATCCTTGAATTCAACCAAATCTTCATAGAGAGGATTTTCCTTGAGCGATTCCCATGATTGGGACTCATATCGCTCAATTCGTGTCTTTTCATCTAGGACACTCTCGTCCATAGATGAACTACTGAGAACTCTCTCGTTCTCAGTAAACACTGTTGCTGACCTTATGTCGGTTACATACTCGTCTTCAGCGACGAGTATGCAGATCTGCTTGACTTTGCCACTACGCAGATCACGCAAGAATCTTTTATGTTCGAGCGTTGGCAACTGAGTGATCTCCGAAGTTAACTTCGGAGGCGCAATCAGATCAAGTGTATAAGCGCCTACACATGATCCGTTATTGACTATGACATTCAATGTCTCTGTCATTTCCTGGGGACTTATTCCCTCAGGCTTCGAAGGACTTATTCCTTCGTCTTCCCGGGTACTTATTCCCGCGGGTTTCGGGGAACTTATTTCCGCCGTATTTGTAATCTTGGGACTTATTCCCTTTACTTCCTCTAGCTGGGGTTGCGCAACCACAGCGAGATCCTCTACGAAAGACTCTCCAGTCGATCTAGGATTATCGTTTCGCTTAACCTGAGCGATCGATTGTTTCTCTTCTAGATGTTCCTCGCTAGGGATACATCTTTGTCCCAGTCCACCCGACTTATTCGAGTGGTGGACCTTCGGCGCAGCCTGTGTTTCCTCACAGCCGCCGGAACTTTGCTCCGAAGTGTAACCGTTTGGTACACTAAGGTTTTGTGCAGTCGTACTAACGACCGTACCACAAGTGAGGCCATCGCACTCACTCGTAGTACATCCACACGCTTGTGGACTCTCCAAAACGTTCATCAGATGGCCATCTGATGAACAAGCGGCGGGCATCGTTACTGTCCGATGTTGCCAGTTTACCCGTGGTTCGTACCTTCTGAGCCACGGTATTCCAGGATGACATCAAATTTGTCATCCAAATCCAATACGATAAAGTCATCGTCGTATTGGGTATCTTCTAGCGTATAGTGAATCTTCACTATACGCTTCATGACGGTTACGGATGCGCCTGTCGCAAGACGTACCGTCATCCTCGTAGGAGGTGTGTCACATTCACTGAATTTAAAGTGACCATCTTCTAGCGATTGGCGTCGCATAAAATTGTTGGACGCCCCACAATCGACTAGAGCTCGAAGGGACAACTTATTCGTCACTTCGAGTTTCAAGGTAATGAGTGAGATCTCATTACCTAGAGCAGCAACGCACAATGTCTGTGTGTTGGGAGCAACCTTCATCAAGAGGCCTACAAATTCTCTTGACGTTGCTGGATCAGTAGGGTGCTCCGCACCTACTGATCCTGTCCGTTTTTTGACGGTCCATCCCGTTGTTGCGTCTTTGCACCAACTGCGGACCCTCGTCCCTGCCCCTTTCTCATGGGTGGACGGTCACTACGCCCAGTGTCGCGAGACACTGGACGAGGGGCACTACACTCGTAAGCGTAGTGTCCTGTCTTTTGACATCTGTTGCATCTCTGCAACTTCTTGTAGCCTGTAGAGCGAGCCTTCTCGCTCTCTACATAACAGAGTTCCATCGGCTCTGGACCTCCGTTGTCATATCGTCTCGGTTGACGATATGATGTCGAGCTGGCGCGAGCCTGTCTCAGACTGAAGTCTTCCTGTTCCGCAATTGAAATGGCTTGTTCTAGTGAATCTAGTTCAAGTCGGAACAGGTGAGTCTTGACGGGACCATCCGCAAGACCCTGCATGAACACCAAAACCAACGGGTGTTCATCCATCGGATTGGAACTTATACAACTCGTGAGATGTCGTATATGTTGAGCGTAAGCGTGCACATCACGCTTACCCTGTTTGAGCTTCAAGAGTTCGGTTCGAGCTCTGAACTCAGCTCTAGGCGGTTCAAACGTTTGTCTGAGCCACGTCTTGAAGACTTCTAACGACCCAAACGCGTATGGGTCGTGCAACCTGAGCCCCAAAGCCCAAGTCTTGGCACGTCCTGCCAGATTTGATTGGGCAAATGCAACTTGCATATCCCCGTCGTCGATGCGACGCGCCCTTATGGCGTCGTCTAATTTGACGAACCATCTCAATAGGGAGTCTTCTTCGACCCCCCTATACTTTGAGATGTCAATCTTCAAAGTCTCGGGCCGACGCGAGTGCATCGACCCGCCAGCAGCAGCCTGCTGCTGTCTCAACAGTTCAAACTGTTGAGCACCTTGTTCTCTCAACAACTCTGCTTGTTGAGAACCTTGTTGGTGAAGCAAGGCTACTTTCTCGCGTTCTGCGTCAAGTTCATTTTGAATGAACTTGGCGATAGTAGCATGTTGGGCATCTCTATTGAGAGCCTCTCGCATGACGCTAACAGCATGGATGCCCATGGTTGAACCCATCCGTTCAACCGCATCCCATTCGACATTGCTCAAAGGGGAGTAGCCGTCACGCGTAGCGTGAAAGCTTTGGTCATCTTCATCATCCAACATATTCATGTTGGATGTGAACGCGGTCCTTGGACGGACTACGAAGTGCTACCAGGTGTAACGGGGCACCCTGAAGCTTGTACTGGTGACAGTACAAGCTACTTATTCTGATAACAGAATAAGGCGGTGCCTCGTAACTTCACGTACACTCGTACGTGCAGAGGAAGACGGTAAGAAGAAGCGAGTACTTGGTTAGAGTAAAAAGTAGAACTGTATTTATAATAGTTAATGTCTGCAATAAATCACTATTTATCTTCATCTAACTATGTCTAAATACAAATGTGTAAATCAGTTATCTGCTCACCACTCATTGCGTGCGTCTGTCGTGGCGCGTCTTCGTTGGTTGATATAATGGCCTATATCAACCAATTAGGAACTACTTGGAAGTGCTACAGAATATTGTCCTTATG